TGTCTATTGAGAAATCATGTGGGTTCAAAATGCTTTTTTCCTTCTGAAGGCATCTGTATCCATCAGCTTCGCCATCACTGGTAGATACTGCCTAATACCCACAACTTAAAGGAGAGGGGTTTACTTTGGCTCAAGGTTTAGTACATTCAATCCATGGTCAGTTGGCTCCAATGCAGAAAACATCACGATGGAAGGGCATGGTGGAACAGAGCTGCTCACCACCAAAAAGGAAGAGATTAGGGATCAGATGTAGACCCCAAGGCCATGGCCATCTGTAATCCATCCAGATTTGTGGTCCACCCATTCCCAGGGAAGGTCTATAGCCACTCAAGTTGACACTGTACTCTGACCCCACTACCGGATCTTCAAAAGTGCCTGAAGAATCTTGAAGGATAGATGGTAATAGAATGGTACGTAATTTATGCTTCCATTAATTAGCTAAAGAAACTGAGGTACAAGTTAGTGTAAAGAATTCAGTGCATATGTGGCAGAGAGATCTATATTTAGTGCTTTGTTTTGCGGTGCTAAGATTGAGCCCAGGGCCTCATAAATGTTAGGCAAGTACAATACACTTGAGCCACATCACCAGTCTAATGCTACTTTATTACTTGGATTTTGTTGTCAGTACTAAACCAGGGTCTTCAGTTTCTTGATGTAGTGATAACAATACTTCCATCTTACAGAAGATCTAAGGAATTGGTGACCAGCTACTTTTGATGGCATGGAAACAGTAAACATTGTATGTCCAAATATATTGTGATCACATATGTAAAGAAATTAATCCTTCAGTGATGAAGATCCAAGGAAAAGGTTTTTGACAGATGTGAATAACTACTCAGGGATGTAACTGAAAGTTAGATATTTACTTCAAATACGTATTAGATATAGATATTTTACAATAAAATTTAGTCTAGTGGTAGCACAGCTGTGTAGCATTTTTGGATTGGATACCCAGCACTGGGGTTGGTGGCGGGGGAGTGAAAAACATAGCTCTCATATTACATATATTAATGTAGAGACCATTTTGGAAATGTAAACTTTTCAATGCCTGTCATTATAGAGAAACTCTGTATCTTATTACTTGGACATACTAGCTTCACATTTATCCAAATTGCTTAAGACACTTTTTTTTTTTTTTTTTGGTCTGAACCTAATGCTGTCATTGGAAGTTTTATATGAAGCTACAAGTATCATATGTTGTTTGTGAGTATAACCACATAACCACTTTGGTTTAGACAAGGTCTCACTATATATTTCAGGTTGGCCTCAAACTCAAAGCAATCCTCTTGGCTCAGCTTCCTGAGTGCTGGGATGACAGCCGTGTGCCACTACACTGGGCAGAATATTGTATTGAGAGTGATCTTTAAGTGGCATATCATGATGTTTAATATATGTATCTGAAGTTAAAAACTTATGATTTGTGTTTAACCACCTTTTAAGAAATTGTTAGGTGATCTCTGTAAGCACTGCAAACTGGGTGTTATACCTTGCTGTGAGAATCTAGTATTCTAATAACTCTAAGAGCATTATATTTAAGTACATACAATAAAAGTGTATTACTTCTGAGCTCTTTTTTTTCTTTTTATTGAGTTTATTGGTACAATCTAGGTATACAATACAATTACATTCATCATTGGGATTCTGTACCTTTACATAATAGGTCTTGATTCTCATTTTTTCCCCTTGTCCCTGCCCTCCCTTCACCCCCTCTTTTCCTCCCCATTTACAAATACTTTATTTCGATTTTTTCAGTTTCTCATATTTTTTTCCTCTCCCTTATTACCTTTCTCCCACCCTTCCCACTTTCCCTACACCTTTAGCCCTTTACTTCCTATTTCACATTATTAATTATCTCATTAGGATCCTGTGTACTATTATAGTTTTTCACACCAAAGAAACTATTCGGTATTTCAGTTAAAGAAATCTCTGTATGAACATTAAAAATAGGGAATCCTAAAATAAAACTAAAAAGGAAAGTAAAAGAGAAAAAGCAATGATGTAACATTAAAATAATCCTTAATTCTGGAGATGAAAATGGTCCCTGAACATATTTAAATTGCTTCTCACTCTTATACTCTTATCTTATTCTTTTTTTTTCATTATTTAGAGAATACTTTTTAGTTTCTGTAATCAAACCCACGTAGATATGACCTTACATATTTAGTACGATGTGTTACCCCTGTACACATGGAAACAAAATAAAAAATAAAAATAAAAATAAATTAACATTTC